AAAAGCACCAGGCTGGCTCATCCGCAAATATGAGCAATGTATGTGCAGGCACATTCGTCTCAGCATTTCCACAATTTTGTAGAGGCTTAAAGCTGCCAGAAAAATTAACCCCCAGCTGACCACCAAAGAATGAGAGATCACAGCTAGGGAACAGACTGGGCCCCAGCTGGCAATGGAGCTCCCAATCTTTTCCTCAGCTCTTGAAATGCAAAAGGTTACACTGCACACAAATGCAACATTTAACAGCTTAGTGCACTTGAATATGCAGCTGTTGTTAGACAAAATGAACCTGCAAGAGATCAGGTCATGTTCTGAAGCTGTAAGTTATTTCTTATTTTTAACTGGGACAAAAGCAGTCTCAAGGAGGAGTATGTTTAATAAATATCTGATTCCAAGGATGAAATCCGTCCTGAGAGTGAATGGCTACTGCCTTATGAGTCTAAACCCTGCATTTCAAAGACATGAGACTGAGGCTTGAACGTATCTGTGCAAGTGTTTGAGAGAAACAGCTTACAAACGAATAGTTTACCAATCAGATCTGCCAAAATATCCAGGCCTGTAGATAAGTTCAAGCACAATAAAATTCTTCAGGTTGTAGAAAACAAGCAGAAAATAAACCATCAAGCTAGATTTTACATAGTGATAAAACATTGCTGTAAAATGGGATAGCTTGTAGATGGGGAAGAGGCAAGAAACCAGCAAGACCAACTACTGCATTGTCAAGGCTTTAGAGCTCCTCAGAAGAGAAAGATAAAACTGCAAATTTAAATCAAGAGCAGCATTTTATTTTGAAATTGCTTTTCAGAGCACAATAGTTCTAAAAGTAGCAACTTCAAAGAGTAAAGAATGCAAAAAGTAGATTATTTCAGGTTTAGAATGTTCTCAAAAATCAGTAGCTTTATCTAATACCCAGCTGGTCTTATTTTGAGCAGAAATCATACATATCACCCACAACTAAGGCTGTTTCAAGACCATAAAAGTAAGTAATGTTTTATAAAACTTGGTTTGGTGGTTGACCATGTCATCCATGGAGGCCCCAGGTTTACATCATTACCTTAAATAAAATGTAGGCCTCCAATAAAATTGCTTTTTACAAAACCAATACTGTTATAATAGCACAGAAGGTTAGATAATGCATCCTGCAATCCAATTTGTGGTTCACGTTAAACTATAGATACCAATAACTAATTCCACATGTGAGACAGACCTCCCTGAGGGAGATTTTAATCAAATAAGTGATGGGAAAAGAGAGGTTTCCTTATTTCAGTATAACAAACCCCCTGTACTAACAGTATGTTGATTTGGTAAAATGTTACCATACTGTAGCAGTGGAACATTAGTAGAACATACATCTGGTTTAGTTATTTCTGTAAGGCAGTTTGTACACATAAACCACAGAGAAATAAATATTTTATCATTACCATTATATTAAAAAAGAGCTTTAAATGTATTTGCCTTATCTTTTTAACTGCTAATGTTGTCCAGCTCCATTCCCACTTAAAAAAAAAAGAGGAAAAAAGGGCAGCACAGTAGAGTTTATATTATCTTTGTACTACTAATTGGGCAGAAGACTGTGTACTGCAATGTTGATTAATGGTTCTGCTCTCAAGCTGGAGATTGCAAGCACAAAAGAATTAGGCCTCCGAATTTGCATATTTTCTATAATTACAAACTTGATCACAGCACTCTCCCATATTCAGGTTCCCCCCCTCCCACTTCTACACTTTTGGTGGTTTAACTTGCACAAGTCTAGCTGCTGACAGGTACAATCATCTGATACCTAAAATACACAACAACTCAATCTGCATACCTGCTACGCAACTTATAATGGAAATGCCTCAAGGTCTAAAATGCTGAAAACTCAAAACCCTGACTTCTTTCCATAAGAAATGCTTTGCCTCGGTAGAGCACCACTTTCTTTTTTTTAATTGCTCTCATTTCAGACAACTCATTTACAACCTCAATAAATATACTTCCATCAAAATCTGCTGACTTAAAGACAGCAAATGCATCCTTGTCAGCCAGTTAGACAGAATAAAATAGAGCTAACCAAATGAAATGGGGTCCAGACTGACAACTTTGCCAGCTAGAGTGAGAGCATCACAGGCAGACAGGAATACAAGACTTGGCAAAAGGAAAAAAATCAGCAGCCAAGTTCTACTGAATAACCAATATGCAGATGACAGGGAAAAGAGCTGGATAGTTTAATAAGTAGCTACGATGTACATTTTTAAAGTACATTAAGAATAGCTTCCAAATAAGGGGTAATATTCATCTGCTCTGCTGGTGGTCCTGCTCTGCAGCTGCCTGGTTCAGAAGCCCTGACAGTCTACTCAAATTGCACTGGGATGCTGTCATATCCTTGATGTGAGAAATCAGGACTCACACGATAATAGGTGCGAGCCCAGTAAACAGCTACTGGTCTTGTGTAGTAGCCACCATTTCATATTTATTGGACACTCAGCCCAAAGAAGAAAATGGAAGAAACAAGCTTGTCACCCCAGTGCCATCTCCTACCATTTGCTGGAGCATTTTTAAAGCTGCTTTGACCAGCTCATCCTTCACTGACCACCCTCAAGAAGGTCAGTGCCTTTACTATTCTTTAAACATAATTAATTGTGTCTCAATTTCCCCAGTGGTATATTCTGAAAAAGCTTTTAGAAGCTGAAAGCCACAGCCTGGCAGCAAGCCAGCCCAGGTCCTTAACCACCCACTACCCCAAATCCCACACTCTCCCTTCTTTGTTTCTGCCCTCACACCTCCATCTCTCCTCTCAGTATTAGCCAGGACAACTGTCTGTAGGGCAATGAGGAGGACTGGATATAACTGCATTGATTCAGGCTTAAGATAACTCCTAAAGATATAGCTGGGATATTGGGGGCGGAGGATTAAGGGTTATTTTTTTACCTGAATTTCCTCTCTGTTCCAGTTTGCAGCACAGCCTTGGAAACGCCAGCTCAGCTGGACAGGGCTTAGCCTAGGTTGGGTAGATTGAAAGGGGTAGCTCCTTTCTACCATCCCATTACAAAGCATTCCATTTCATAGTGTTACTGCTTACTTATTTAGTACAGATTTGAGCTAACCACTTAAAATTATTTTCCTTCCTTTATTGTCTCCATTCTACACTTTTCCCCTCCAATGCACTACAAAAGACCGTAACTTTTTCCTAGATTGCCCTGCCTGATGTCGTTTTTTCCCTTTCTCCTGCAGTTGCCCTCCCCCTGTATTTACACTGGGAAAATACAAAGCACAAAATTCAGAACAGGTAAATGGACACAGTTCTTTCTAATTGCCCAGACATTTTAATGAAGAGTCCTCTGACCAGATGGGGGTTTGTTTGGTGGGAGATTTTTTTGGTTTTGTTTAAAACATACTCTATTTTTTTAAATGTTCAAGACAGTTGGATAACACGGGATGATTGATCTGTATATAGCTACTTTGGTCTCATGAAATTTGCAACGCAGGAATGTCTTTTCAAGCAAGAAAAAAATGTAGGTAACAACACTAAAGAAAAAAAAAATAAAATCCTTAATCCAAAAGTTGATTTTGTTTGTTTAAGGAGATATTACAGTTTGTTCTAGGAAAAAAAGAATTTGTCAGTTCTTATTAGGGTCACATTTTATTTAAGGGCAAAACTGCCGCAAGAAAAAGGCAACACCCAAATGATCCCAAAGAGATGCAGAGTTGAAAGCTTTCTTCATTTTTATTGGAGTCTGTGCTTTAATACTGCACAATGCATAAATTAATCTGTTGGCTACATACTTTGGGTTGGTTTTTTTTTAATTTATTTTAAATACAAAACTTTAAAAAAAACATAACAAAAACCCTACTTTATCATTGAATGTATAAACAGACAGAATGAATCTAAAACCAAAGAAACAAAACAAACAAATTCTTTCCTTTTCAGTTTTGTCAGAAAAGAGCACAATAAAGTCAACATGTCACAGCAGTTTGAGAGGGAACTACCAGAGACTACTTGTTTTTGACTCTATTTTCCTTGTTTACTACAAATAAGTATTCTATACAAGCAGAAATCATTACTTTATCAAAACCTACAATTTCTTTTCAATTCATTTGAGTGAGAAATCAAAATTTCAAAATCACAGTGTTTGACAAAGACTGCAAAGCCGTATTTTGCTTTATGGCTTTTATTGGTTATGTCTCACTGAGAAACGTGACAACCTATGTCCCTATGAAACATTTTAATTCTGTTAAGTCAGTCAGTATTGTTCTGAAAGCAAGCCATTTCACTGAAAATAAAATTACATATACTCAGCTTACTCATTTTTATAGCAACTGATGTAAATGAGTCTTGACTTTGGCTGTGCTTTCTGGGTACCACTAAAATATATGCAGTTTTGAGACAGGGAAGTTAGGAGATTTTGGTGGGCTTGATTGTTTGCTTATTTTAATTGTTTGTTCTTGGGCAAGAAGTTTAAAAATGGGAAATACTTATTTTGCTCAGGCAATAGTACATTTGAGGCATAGATCCTACTAGGAGGAGAAAAAATACATGCCAAAGGCATGCACCCAGGTCCTATGCATCTCTGTTAAACTAGAACAGTGAGAACCCTATCTTTGCCTCAGGGAGCCCGTAGATGGTATCAGCTGCTGAACTTGCAGGCCCAACCAAAAACTAAGCTGAGCTTGCAAGATAGAAGAGGATAAGAGCATTAATGAATTCTTTGCAAAAGGCAGCCAGATATCCAGTGCTCAATGGTAAACAGAATGAGGAGGGAGCAGCTGGAAGAAAGGAAAGTAACTGAAAAAAAATAAATCCCCAGCATCAAGTAATAGCAATGGATAGTAACACATTGTTTAAATAAAATGTAAAAACCCCATGCTAAACTACTTTAAATGTACTTTCAGCATTAGACATCTGTGCTTATTTTTGGGAGTTGACTAAACTACTAAGAATTACTGTGTACTTGAAAACTCATTTAGCACCTGTTTAACAGGGCTTGGTGCCTTACGAATAGCTTACAGGAAAGAAAACTCACCTTGTACAGAGCAGGAATGATTTGATGCATTTTCAGCCGATGAAACACAAAGATATCGTACACTGCTGAAATGGCCAGAACAGTCACTCCTTGCTCCTTCCACAGCATGCTGCATCCCGCGCACAGCCCTGTTCCCAAGATCCAGCCCCACGTACTCGGTGAGGAACCTCTGGTAGAGCAGTGCTTTACGTAACACATCAGGGAAAGCAGAAAGAAGAGGCAGGCTCCAATGTCTGCCCTCCCTACGATCCCTGCTACGGCTTCCGTGTGGATCGGATGAGATGCAAACAGCAGGCCTGCTATCAAGGTCCAGTACCCATCCCCAAACAGGATCCTGGAGAAGTTTGTGAAAAGGCCTGTGACTGCAGCATGTAACAGGACATTTACAAGGTGGTAGCCCCATGGGTCCATCCCTCCAATGGCATGGTTAATGCGGAAGGAGAGTGTGCAGAGAGGTCTGTAGGACTTGTGGCTCCCACTGTGAGTGAGCAGTGTCCCCCAAAAGTCATTGTAGAAGATATGGGTCCACGGTGTCTCGGGCAGAAGATCCTGGTTTGTCTTGATAGCTCGACTACAAAAGACAAAACAAAAAAAAACTTCATTTCAGCAGAGGAAAAATGACACAAATGAAAGGCCATGAAAATGCAATTACATTGCTACCACAAGAAAGAATGGCATTGCTTTGGTGCTGCTTTAACTCAGGTTTTGAATTTTAACATGAGGTGTTAGAAAACTACATATCTATTGACTTCCCACTAAAGCAAAATTTCCATATAAATTGGCTTTTAAAACATTAGAAACAGATGTTACTCTGCTTCCATTAAATTAAAACACCCTTCAGTGACATTCTTCTGAGTCTAACCCAGGAGTAATCAGTTAAGATTTGATGAGTTATAATTAAAATGTAAAAGAAATATGAAAAACTTACAAACATTATTGTTGAGAAAATGCATCCTCCAGTAATTCAGAACTAAAACCCCAACCGGTCTTTTATACTGAAATTTTAATTTAGATGTTGGAATGATTCTCACTGACACGGATGAACAATAAGTACAGGAGTTGGTAGGAGCACGCAAATCTCTGGTGCTGACAATAGGCACTTCTACAACTGTCTCATATATATATATTGACTGAAAACATTTTCTGCTAACACCTTGCTGGAGGCAGACAGCAGAATATTTTACAGATTAAAATATACCTTCTCTTTAAATTCATTATATTTACAATTGAGGAAAACACATTTTTAGGTTGTATTAGCTTATGAATTCAAGTCTGTGTCAGCTTGATTGGAATAAAAAAATGCTGAAAACTGCAGCATTTTTGTGTTTCCAACCAACCTGGCAAGGACTGGTGCCAGCCATTAGAAGTCTCCATGTCTAATTCAGTACTGTAAAAATCTGTCCCTTATAATCTTTGTACAAGTCCAGTCATTTGCATTTAAAATTTATGCTGTGGGAGAAGGTGTGAGACCTGCTTAGCGCAAAAAGATGACTAGAATTTAATTAGTTACTTGCCTTAATAACCAAAGTTGTATTTAAGCAATTCTTTGAAGATGTATTGTTGCTACTACTGAGCTTAACTCATTTAGCATTTATTTTACCAGGGTAATTAAGAATCTAGCCAGGTCAAGACTCTTCTATTAAAAATATTAAGCAAGAGACATGATTTATATCCAATCCTTTACTCATTCCCTCTTTCTGCCATTCCAATAAATATCTTCCCATAATTAACAATTTTTCAATTCATATGAGGAAGGAAAAAAAAAAAAGTATGAAACTCAGGCCTGTGCTTGAAATGCACTACTCTAAATTCATACTCCAAGACTCCCCTCACATACTCCATTCACTTGGAACCTGTATCCAAATCCATATATATATATATATATATATATATATATATAAATACACACACACTCATTTCAGGAATGTTGTCTTGTTCTGTAAAGAAAAATGCTCAAACACTGATATACTAGGCCACAGAATCTCCATGCAAATACTCTAAATACCACACAGCTCAGCATTTCCCTTGTCCGGAGCAGATTGCTGTAATGCTTTCAGACATGCTTCCTCTCAGCATGTCCTTTTGTCTCTGCATATGGAGGTTATGGAGAGGTCAGTTTAAATCCTTTAAAGATCTGATGATGCTTTCTAGAATACTTGAAAATTTTCATTTTGACTTCTACTTATGCAGTGGATCAGGTTGCTTGTATTTGTTTTCCCAACCCCACACATATTTTTCTCATTTTAGTCCAGTCACAAAAGAACACTGGAAGAAAACAAGATCTTTGTTTTCACGTTATTTATCTTGTCCTTCCCTGTAGTCCTTTCCTGAAATCTAATTCCTCTGTTTATGATTTCAGTTTGGAGTATCACTCTCAGAACCACTGTCAGAAAACTAGGAATTCAGCAAGAATAAAGCAGGTGTTAGGCTAGAAAGAGTCCTTTCTCTGAGAAAAACATAATATGTTAGACTACACACTCCCAAAATCTAGGAATGGGTATCAGGTGTCAGGATTTAGAGCTGAAACCTTGAGCTGCAGAAGTGTTTTTTCTTGAGGAAATACTAAGAAATTAAGTGGCAGTAATATTGCTAGCACAACTGCCCTCCCCTGAGGCAGAGCATTCTGCTACAAAGAGCCTAGCTGAGGCACAGGTAGTTTCCAGGAAATGGTAGCTTTTATTGACATCATCTGCAAAATGTGATTCAAGTATTCCAATACTTCAAGTCATGGAACCACTTTTAAAAAGGAAAAAAACAAAACAAACAAACCGAACTGCAGCTTTCAGTACACGTGTATACAACAACTCCACGCTATGCTGCTACGCATGTTAAGAGACCAGCCCTCTCCAAGCTGATCATTTTCATGCAGCACGTACTCATATTGAGCTATTCCCCACCTGAAGTAAACGGCTTTTCTCTAAATCATGAAGAAAAGTATTGTACATTCTGAAGGCACAATTCAGTCAAATTTTATTTACAGCCTTAGCAACAAACTTGATGCAACTCTGATCTTTTCCTGTTCAGTCCTGTTCATATGAAAAAATGAAAAAAAAAAAAACAAAACAAAACAACACAACAAAACAGTCAAACCAAACCAACAAACAAACTAAAAACAACAAAAAAAAATCAAAAGGAAGCCTGGAAGATACAGTATTGATCACCCTGTATCTGGGTACAGATTTCAGCAGGCGATTCTGAAATGCTCCTAAGTTTCTCACGCACGTCAAAGCAACGGATTCTAATACCTGTCAGTCAGCATGAAAAATACAGAAGCTGCCAGATCCTGCTTATTCAGTGGTTCAGTCAGGTTAAATGTTGTATGCTCTACAAGTCAAAATTTTAAATAAAGTTAAAAGTTAAAAAAAAACAAAACAAAAACCTCTAGCTAATGCTTTGGGATATTAGAAAAGTCTAATATAAAAGCAAACCTAGATTTCCTACAGCAAAGAAGGAAATGTCCCATAGGTTGCTTGTGAATATTCATCAATTTCTCTACTTTATATTATAAAATACAAGAAAAAACACACTTGGCCAACATTAGACTTGACTGCACAGGAAGATGCAAGAATACGAGCATATATATGAGATACTGGAGCAAGAAGCAAGACAGCTCTCAAAAGTCATTTTGCCCTCAAAAAAGGAAAAGTGGACAAGGTCTCAGTGACACTAAGGACAACACCATAGACACCACGACTGCAGGTCTGACAAAGAGCCCGTGGGCTGAGTCCTGCCCACGCAGAATCAGCCGGAGCTGTTCCCACCTGCATCCCCAGCCTGGCTGTCTTAACAGCACTGGCAAGAAAAACAAAGTGAAATGATTATCTCTTTGAAGAGAAATACAAGCTCTGTAGTTAATACAATAAAAGAATAAATAGCACCAAACTGCTCATGTCAGGGCCCTGAGGGCACCAGTAAGCCTTGACAGCCCTGACCCCACTCCCCGGGCCCCCCTCCCCTGCCCACAGCCCAAGACCCCACATCACTACCCCATCGCTGCAGCAGGGCCAGTCTCCAGCTCCCCACAGCCCTGCCCGGACCCCAGGGAGGTACCAGATGCCCAGGGCTGCCCCCCAGCTGCCCTGCTCCTGGCTGGGGCAAGGCCCTGGTTTTCTTTATTTACTAAATTAACGAGCTGTTAACTCTGCTGCAGTATTGATGCTTAGCCGTGAATTTCAACAGCAATTTTGAAAACAGTCCCTGTTCATGGCCTGGCAGGTAGCACTGACATGTCCTTTGCAAAGCCTCCCACGCTGGCAGCCACCCGGGCTTTCCACAGATAGAAAATAATATTAATTGCTGGCTCCAGGAAAGACTCGGGAATAAAGGAAACTACAAAGCGCCTTATTAGCCTTGTCTTCGCCTTCAGTCACAGTTTACCTTCAGGTTACGTCCCTCAGATTAGTCCGATCTTGCTAATGGGCATAACAAGAGGCACTCTCCAACTGCACTCATCGCTCTTAAACAGAGCCGTAAACTCTGCTCTCACTAAAAGGCAGCAGGTCACCAGGGAAAGTCATTTTTCAAAGCTCCAACACAACTGGCACTTTTACTTTCAAGCAGCCTCAGATAAGGGTTACAGACTCAGTCAGGGAACTTGCTTTCTTCAATTTTTAATGCCTGCCCATTTCACGCATCCCAGGAGAGAGGGGATATCTTATTCACTGTACAACAAATAGATGGGTTTGAGAAGGGGGAAAAAGGAATAAGAGTCAGCTATCAATTCTTCAGAAATATAAGTCTGAAGAAAGACAAATGTTGGAAAGGCAAAATCATCATTTCTAATCCACTCAAAAGAATCCTCCTGACTCCTGCCATAAATCACTTATTTGCCTAGGTTGGTACACACCTTGAGCACAATTCAGTAAGATTGTTTTCATCAAACTCAAAAATGCCAGATATCCAGCAGTTCACACATGCATATATACATGCATACACACACAAAAAAAATCCCAGATGTTTTTAAAATTAACAGCTATATATGTCCTAAACTTCTGCACTGGTGCTAAACTGATCCAGGTGTTAACACCAGGGTAAAAAAACAGATGCAACATTCTAAAGTGATTTAACACGTTAAGCCTTATGTCCAGCTTCAATATTGCTAATGGTCCCCATATGCTGAAAATGAACATCAGCATTTGAAGAAGAGAACATATTTTAAGGAAAAAAGAGAACTCCCAAATGTGCACACAGGAAGCCATTGACCAGCCCTCTCTCAAAAATAGATAGGCAGTGATGGACTAGCAAATCTCTGCTTGGAGGTTCTTTGTTGTGCTTCCTCAAGATCATTTTTGAATATTATTCATTCATTCCTTTTTCATAAATAGCAATGGGAAAGCATCCTAGAGTATTTTTACAGTGGATCTTAATGAGTTAAATTAAGGATACTTTCAAGAGTATATGTTACTTTTATAGACAGCAAGCCTGAAAACACAGCCAGAGCCTACTTTCCAGAGTGCAAACAGCTTCACATCCCCAAAACGCACAGCAGCTGAGTCAGCCCTCCAAACTACTTCCAGGCTATCTGTTAGGCAGGTGCATGCACAGAAAGCAGGGAAGTAGAGCTTGTCACAC